TGCCCAGGAACTGCATCAGTTTCAACAGCTAAGACTACCCTGGGCCATCTGGCAGTGGTGGATGCAAGACAAGCTGCATACGAGGTGCGTCTGTGGGGAAGAACTCTTGAGTGGGCTGCTGCTGTTGTGGGTTTGGTTTTTTAAAAAGACAATTACAGAATCTTAGTTGGGTGTAAGTTTTTAAAGTACGCAGTGTTTGCAGATCTTAAGGCCATAATATCTATGTGAAGGAATCCTTTCTCGTGTCCATTTCTTTGTGATGCTGTCTGAAGCAGACAAGGTTGGTTCCTCATGGAGTCTTCTCATTCCATGATATGATAAAAAGAAATGTTTTCAGCAGAGAAGCATGGATGATGTCAGAAACAGGACACTGCATTTTGCAGCATCATAGTTCCAAAAGCAGCTCTGCCCCAGTGCTATTGCAGTCCTGCTTGTTTTCCCTCACCTTTCTTTCTGAAGCCTTTAGCTCCAGCCTTAGATCACAAAAGCTGATTTTCCCATAAAAGATGAAGAGTTGTAAAATATTTCATACCTATCTTATATCCACAACTATCACAGATGACTGTTTCCACCATCAAAATAATCACTCTTTCTTCACTGAGTCTGTTAAAAGAATGCAGACAACTCTGCCTCTGACTGGAACAGACAATGGTTCTCAAAACAGTGGTGCTCAGCAGTTAGGAGAATATTTTTATGTTAAATCACTTGGAGATGTCTTTATGCATCTGACCTGGAAGTAATTGTACTCCCACTGAACCAAATTAACTTTTAAAAAATACCTGGTTTTAATAGGAGAATGTAAAATATACTGTCAATGATGGCAAATGCCATCAAAACTATCAATTTGCATGTATGTTTTATGCATCTAGTTCTGGTGCCCAGGAACCTGATTACAGCACAGATTTGAAGGGAATGTGGTTGTTTGGATACAAATGGTTGGATAAAAGGATTGGATATAGAATTCACGCACACCACAGGAGTATTTTCCTGCATGTGTGTTGCATTAAAAATACAGTACTTTATGTTTTGCAGCATGGACTCTTAAAGAATATTAAACTGCCTTGAGGTTTTTATGGTAGTCTACAAGTTTCTGTCTAGAGGAAATAACTTTTTAGCAGTTTCGTAATAGCTCAGTTCATACCTTTGAGTTAAAAAGTTCCAGCAAGAGCCTGAGTGCATCCTGTGTTGTCTTGAGAGAAGGCAACTCCTTACTCTTAGGAACTAATGGAAGTGAGATGAAGGTCTTGCAGCATTTTAGCAAAATTTAAATATTGCTGATAATTCAATTTCAGAAGTCTTTAAAAGGAACACAGAAGGAATAGTTAATTATTCATATAGTTCTGTTGTCAAAGGCAAAAAATAAATGGCCTCTATGCAGTCTTTGACACAATGGATCAGGACCTGGACATAGGCAAATAAAATGATATTTCTTCACTACTAATTTTGTCCTCAATTGTTGGGATTTTTTATACAGAAATACAAAAGTAAAGTTGAACAGCTGTTTGCCCAGATCAAGGAAGAAAGTGCAGCTCAGCTGCTGGCAATTCAGCGTTGGAGTGATTGGTGGGAACAATCTGTCCGGAAGATAAAGAGACTCTACATCTGAGATCAGTCACATTTTGCTGAGCTTTGTTGGTGTAAATTGACAAATTTGTATGAATGTCACTGATATTTTTTATCTTATTAATCTGTTGCATTGAAAGACGCTACATTTTGCCTTTTTGTTTGTTTTGCCATGTTACCACTTGTTTCTTCATATTCAGTCTTAAGACTACTACTATGCTCCTCTTTACATAACCACCTAGTTTGGCTTACAGTATCACCTGTTACCATTCACATGTGTTTGTGCACATGAACCCTCTGTGCAAGGGCACTTAAAGCATATTTTTGAGCAGAATTTACAGGATTTTGTTGCAGTTTTGCCCCTGGGAGCTAGTTTGGTCTGAAAACTCCCCAAGGCATGAATGAGAAAACTCCCCAAGGTGTGAAAGATAACTATCCCTAACAAAGCGCTCTTGCATCCAGGCCCCTGTGCCCAAGCATCTCTTCACAGAGACCTCTGATTGGAGATAGCAAACCTGGAAAAGATACACATTTTATGTTGTCTTGGATCAACAAGCTTTGACTTGCTTACCTTTCCCATTCCTTGCCTCTCCTCTCCTACCTTGTGTTGCCTACTGTTGCCTACCACTTTCTCTCATTGCCATGCCTTGCCTGCCCCTCCATTGCCTTGCCTTATCTATCCCTCTCTTGCCTTTCCTTCCCTTCCCTTCCCCTCCTTTGCCTTGCCCCTCTATTACCCCTTTCTTTCCTTGCCATGCTTTGCTCCTCCCTTGCCCCATTCTTTCCTCTCCCTTTTCCCTTTTCCTGCCTTGTATTGCCTCACCCTTCCTATGCTACTCCCTTGCCTTTCTTTACCTTGCCCCTCTGATTTACCCCCCTTGCGTTTCCCTGTCCCCATCTTGCCCCTCCCTTGCCTTGCCTCTCTTATGTTTTCTCATCTTGCCTCTCCTTTGTGTTTCCTTGTTTTTCCTTCCTTTGCCCATTCCTTACCTTGCCCTTCCTCTGCCTTGCCTATCCTTACCCCCTCATGACCACTCTTGCATTGCCTACCCTTGCCCCTCCCTTGCCTTATGTTCACTTTCCTTTCTTTGCCCATCCCATGCTCCACTCTTGCCTTACTCCACTCTTTCCTTTCCCTTGTCTTTCCTTGCCTAGCCCCTTCTTTGCCTTCCCCTCCCTTGCCTTGCCTACCCCTCAATTGCCCTTTCTTGCCTACCTCTCCCTTGCCTTGCTGTCATTTTCCTTTCCTTGCCCCTCCCTTGCCTTGCTGTGCTTTGCCTCTGCCTTGGCCCTTCTTTCCTCTCTACTGCCTTGCCTTCCTATTCCCTCCCTCTATTACCCTGCCTTTGCTTTCCTTCCTTTGCCTATCCCTTGCCTTGCTGACCTCCTCCCTTTATATCTTTGCCTTGCCTTAACTTGCCGTTGCCTTTCCCCTCCTTGCCTTTCATTGCCTCTCTCTTGTCTACCCTTGCCATTTTTGGTCCCTCCCTTGTTTGGCTTTTCCGTCTACTTTTCCTCCTACCTTTCCTTCTACCTTTCACTTTCCTTTTACCTTTCCCTACCCCACACCTCCATGGCATTGCCCCTCTCTGTCCTTCCATTACCCCTTTTTTGCCTCATCCTTTCTTGCCTTGCCTTGTTTAGATTTTCTGTTCCCCCTGTTTATTACCCACATTCGTACACCAGTGTGCAGTGCCTGGGTACTGTGCCAAGGCTACTCTCTTCTTATTATTATTTCTCTATTGCCATAGTCATTAAAATAATTTTCCTCCTCTCTCTGAATTCTTCTGATTTCCCCATGCTTTTGTGGTTTATCTGAACCTGTGGTGGGATAAAAGTAATCTGGAGGTAATTGAATTTACACCAGTTATAGACAAATAGTAAGAATTCTTAAATGGAGAGCTGGCCAGAGAGTCTGGCTTTTTTTTTTCCTCCTGTGAAATGCTCTCCTTTGTCTGGTTGCCTGCTTGCCTTTTTTTATGACAGTTCAGCTCAAAAAAGACCATGTAACAAACAAACCTCTCGACCCCAGTGACAAGAAAACAGCCTAAAATCAATGCCCACATGGGCATTCTGGCTGTCCCAGGGGCAACAGGACATAGTCCACTGGCTTTTGTGCTTAAGTTGTTTTATTGAAGGCTGTGAATTGACATTCCTTAAGATTTTGCTGAACCGAATCTGAAATGGGGAGGACACAGACAAGCTGGATACATGCTGTGGGTAATTTAAATGTAATTTGTTTCACACACAACCCAACAAGACAAGCTGTTGTAATTTAAACATTTTATTTAAACATAAACAATGGTGATACTTCATTAAGCATAGATATTTACTTTTAAAATATTTGTTTAACCATACCAAACCACCAAGCAAACACAATCTGCCCCACTTGGCAAGACCAGGGTACAAAATCTGAAGGCAAACTTAATTCATTTTTTCTAAAGAGCACCATGATTTAGAGGTTGCTTCCATTGTCCTTCAGTTGTGGATGAGGATTTTGACATGTTTCAGTGCCTGCTGGATGCTTTCTGACAGGGGGGAGGGAAGCATTTATCAAAATTAGTGTGGGCAGCAGCAGAGGGATGGATTCTGCCCGTCTGCTCAGGTGAGACCTCACCTGCCTCCAGCTCTGGGGTCCCAGCAGTGTAAGAACATGGACCTGTTGGAATAGCCAGAGGAGGCACCAGGATGATCGGGGGATGGAACACTTCTGCTGTCATAAAAGGCTGAGAGTTGGGATTGTTCAGCCTGGAAAAGAGAAGGCTTTGGGGTGAAGAGAACGCATTGTGGCCTTTCAGTACATGAAGGGAACTTACAGGGAGAATTTACTTGCAACAGCATGTAGTTACAGGACCAAGAAGAATTGCTTACCACTAGGGAGCAGGGTTAGATTAGATATTAGGAACAAATTTCTCCCTGTGAGAGTGGTGAGGCCCTGCCAGAGGTTCCCCAGAGAAACTGTGGCTGGCCCATCCCTGGAAGTGTCCAAGGCCAGGCTGGACGGAACTTGAAGGAACCTGCTCTAGTGGAAGCTGTCCCTGCCCACGGCAGGAGGTGGGATGAGATGGTCTTTAAGCCCGCTTCCAACCCAAACTATTCTATAGTTGTGTCCGCGGGCTGGGCCGGCCGCGGAGCCGCTCGCCCCCCGCACTCCCCGGGCAGCGCGCAGCGGCCCCGGGCTGCCGGCGGGGCTGTCGCTGCCGAGAGCGGCTGACCGAGAGCGGCTGCCCCGCCGTCCCTCCGCCGTCCCTCCGCCGTCCCTCCGCCGTCCCTCCGCCGTCCCTCCGCCGTCCCTCCGCCGTCCCTCCGCCGTCCCTCCGCCGTCCCTCCGCCGTCCCTCCGCCGTCCCTCCGCCGTCCCTCCTTCCCTCCCGCCCTCACGCCGTGTCAGCCGTGCGCGCGCACCCGCCCGCCCTCTCGCCGCCGGAATGTGGGCGACGCTGTCCCGGCCCTGAGGCGGCTGCGCGGCCCCGCCGGGCTGGAGGCAGCGGCAGCGCGGGGAGGACGGCCCGGCTGCACCGGTGAGAGATCGCGACGCTGTCCCGGGCCTGCCCCGCCGGGGCGAGCGGGGCGGAGCGGGTGTCATGAGGGGCGCGGGCGGGGAGGTCGCCGCTCCCTCAGGAGAACGGGGGTGCGGGAGGAGAGGGAGCCGCCGGCCCAGCCCGTGTCACGGGGGATAGACACATAGATCGTGCCCGCTGATCTGAGGTGGCTCTTCGCTGGCCGCGGGCCGATGGTTCCGCCGGTTCGTGTTATTTGGTGTTTGTCTGTGCGTGTGGAGTTCCCTGAGCAGTGGCGCTCCGGGAGGAGAGGAGCTGGAGCACAGGGCAGGATTTAAAAAATAAAGTTGTTTTCGTGGTCAGGAATGCGAGAGCGCGGTGGAAGCGCTCATCTCCCTGCCTCCTCCGCGGGAAAAGTGAAGTCACTTCCCAAGAGCCCGGACTAGCAAACTACTGTCCTAAATCCGTGCGTCTGCATGCGTCAGTTTCATTCTGTTTTATTCAATTTCATTCAATTTCATCTACGTTATGTTTTGTTTTGGGCTGGTTGTCTGTTTCTTTCTTTTCTTTTTTTCCCCCTGGTTGTTTGTTTTCTTTCTGGTGGTTTATTTTTTTAAGCCCTTTTCCACTCTCTCCCGATCCGTAAGCTGGTACAAAATTCCTGTCTTTAGATAAAAGTACTTGAAAACCTTCTATCACCACCTGAACCAGGGACGGCATTGAAGGAAATGGACTTGCTGACTCTCCTGGATAAGTTCCTGCAGTGTCGTGTGTACTTTGCTCCTGCTGTCACTCTCAAAGCTGTGTTGCCGCGAGTGCTTGGTTTGATAGTGCTGTGAATAAGGAATATCCTACCACGTTTCACAGCTGTATCCATCCATCGTGTGGCTAAGAGGGGGAAACCAAAATGTCAGTTCTTCTTTAAAACAGAGAAAAAAATCTAGTGACAATTAAGAAATAACTTGCTTAGGTAAGCATTGCTTCTCTCTCTCACTGTCGTGCTCTAGTCTCACCACCACGTTGTTTTTCAGCTAAAACTTTCAGAGGGGCAGGTGTGCTTTCAGTTTCCAGAGAGATGTCTTGTTGATGGTACAGGCAGCATTTTGTTACTCCTTTAAGTGCAGAAAAGGTGCAGTGGCTTTATTTAACCAAACCTCTGTGATATAGGCCAAATCCTGACTGCCTGTCAGACTAGCCTGCCTCCAGATTGTATGAAGATTTACTGGGCCTATAAGGTTGGTTCTGCAAATTATGCCTCTGCCTAGGTTTTAAGTGGGATTGTAGCTAACACTGTTTATGTGGGTTAGATGGTAATAATTATGTGATTAATAACTTACTCTGTAGTTTAAACTTGAAAAGACTACAAATACAGTAAGCACAAATTGACTCCAGTGTTGTAAGAATGCTGTGAGTGTCTGGAGGGGAGCCAGCATCAGCTGATGAACCCCAAAACTCAGTGACAGAGCCTTCCACTACTTCCTTCTGTTTTAGGCAGAGGTGGAAAATCATGCTTGGTTAGTTTTGGTTTATTTATTTGATTTTTAAAATAACTGCTTTTTTCCAAAAGGACTTGGGCTATGAACAGCTTGGCTGTACATAGGAGAACTGTAAAAACTGCTCTGCAGTGTTTGCTTTAAAATGGTTATAGTGAAATGTATTTCTTTGTTAAAAATAGCATTTAGTTCTTTAAAAAGTGATTCACAGATGAAGTTGTGGTGGTGTTAGTAAGGGGATTGCAAAAAGATCAAGTTTATAATGTGGCTGTCTTGTGTTCCTGGTGTACTCCCTGGCATATCAAGACAGTCTGCGTCGTGGCTGCTCCTTCTTTTCTCTCATCAAAGGGACTTCCACAGTCAGGAAGTGAGTAAAAAGAACTAATCTGGTTAAAAGATGTACTTCTATTTCTTCTTTTTTTTTTGTTCCCTGAGGTACTCTGATTACAACAACTTCCTGACCCAGCTCACTTGCCTGGCCATGTGGACGTGGGCTCAGTCCAGAGGAGGAAGTTGTGTTGGTACAGGAGAGAGTGGAGCAGTCACAGGTGTTGTGATGTCCTTAGCTGGGACCTGGCTTTGTGGTCACTGAGTTAATGGCAGAAGCCAGTGCTGCTGGAAGAACCTACATTGTGGGTTTGATTGACTTGTGGTGAAGGTAGCAATAATAGTAAGGTTTTTTTTTTCCTTTTTTTTCTGCCAGTACTGTCTTATATTGATTATGAAGCTATGGTGTAATTTTTATTGGCTTTTGACAACATTAAATAGACTCAAGCGCCATCTGTGTGTCTGTGTTCTTCTCTGGGCCCACAGAAATTGCTGTGGTTTTCTTCTTCCCTCTCCTTTGTTCATCTGTTCTGCTCTCTGAACTTTTTGGTGAGTTCTTAGTTTCAGGGAGTGATGTCAGCATTGTTAGGGGTTTTTGTAAATTTATTCTGCTCTAATTTAAAAATAATTAGTTGTATATTGCTATTACCTCTGCTGTAATAGGAGGGCTATTTCAAACTTGACTGACCTTAGTAATTACACACTTTCTGATTTCTAGTTTAGATTAATTTGTCATGGGATTATACTCATTTTATGCACCCCATGGACTGATAGGTTTTATTGGCACTCTTGATCTTGATATTTAAAAAAAAAAAGGGCACTTTTAACAAAAAGGATGCAAAAATGTGTGGAAACACACCATGGAAGGTTTGTTTGCTCTTTGGGCCACCAGGTACACTAATCATTCCTGTAATAATTCTCAGCTTCTCCCCGTGAATTTTAATCTTGACCTATTAAGTGAGAATTAAAATGCACATTTCAGGCATTAACGTTGAGCTTCCTGAAGGTGTCCTTTTAGTGAAGGTTAAGTTGTTTTCAAATATATTTTGATAAGATGTGTTTTGTGAAATTCATACCTTTGGCAGTTTGTTCCAGTTTCAATCTTACTCTGTTATTCTGGTATAGCTGTTGAAGGATCCATTATTGTAACCTGGATTGGTGAAGGCATTCTTTGTTCTATGATGGAGTCCTAGTCCTTAAAAGTGACTGACATGTTTGAAAATCATTTATTTCACCTTTTTTCTGTGTTCTTAACTTTAAAGAGAAACAAAACCGATGTGTAGATTATTAGAAAACCTCTGTGGCTGTTAAGGTGTTTATTTAAATTTGCTGTCAGGAGTGTTCCCAGAGGGGACTTTGTGATGCTGACAAACTAGTTTGTCGGGTGTGACTGTTTGTAAACAGAACATAAATACATAAATGGGGCACCAAAATCTGCTTAGTAAAATAGATTACTCTGAAAGGTGAGTAAGGCCCTCGTGGAAAACATCTTTTAGATTGTGTCTTTCATGGAATATTTCTTATTCTTTAGGAAGAGTAGCAAAAGTGTCTTTCTAATGTTTTTAAGTGGTCAGAGGGTAAAAAGTAACTTTTGCCACTTTGAGATGGGTCACAGCCATCTGCTTTCCTACTTTTGTCTCCCTGTGTCATGAGCCAGAATACTGAGGAAAGTGTGGGTTTTTTTAGATCAAGTAAGCTTAAAAGTGCAGAATTTTTCTGATGCTGAAAACATGTTCCCTGTTTGTGGGGGAAGCACAGCAGTACAAAGGGAAGAAGTTCTAAGGGCAAGAAGATAAGAGATATGTACATTTCTATGTGCAACACTGGATGTAGGCTGACTGTATGTACAGGAGAACTGCAATTTTGAAACACATGATCGAAAGTAATAAACCTGATGCAAAAACTGCTGAAGGAAAGTTTCTGATATAGAATAATTGGCAGGTCAAATAGTAAATTCCTAATACAGTCATTTAGGTTGGACGGGGCTTCTGGAGGTCATCTAATCCAACTCCCTGCATATATTAAAGTAGGAATAATTTAGATAAGATTGTTCCAGCCTTTAACACCTTTCTGGGCAATCTGTTTCCACATTTGACTGCACTCAATGATTTTTTCGCTCCGCCCTCCCTCCCTCCGTTTAAGGTAGTTGAAATTTACTTTCCAACTTGTGTCTGTTGCCTCTTAACGTGTCAATGTCCATCATCCAGAAGAGTGCAGTTTTCTCTTCTGCAGCCTTTCATTAGAGAGCTGACAGTAATAAGGATTCTTTAGAGCTCTTTTCTTGAGCAGATTGTGCAAACTCAGTTCCATCAGCCTCTCATTGTACACCATGTGCTCCTGCCATCTGGCCAGCTTGGCCACTGGACGTGCTCCAGAGTGTCTGTGTGAGTCCTGCACCAGGGAGCTGCACTGCAGCCATGGGCTCACAGGTGCTCAACAGAGGGGACTGACCCTTCCCTGGACCTGCTGCCTGGACTCCTGCATCCAGCCAATGCTGTGCTCAGCTGCCTTTGCTGTGAGCTTGTACTGGTGACTTGTTTTCACAGTTCTGTCTGCTGGGATCTCCAAATACTTTTCTGAAAAACTGAGTATTTGTCTAGTTCATGTTCGGCCTGTCTTGTCACAGGAGGTTGTTCTGCCACTGATACAGGACCCACACGTGCCTTCACTGGGCTTCACAAAGTCTTACTGGTGCCTTTCTCCAGCCTGGCCAGGTCTGACTGGAGCTGACCACTCCTCCCACTTTGGTGTCATTGGAAACTTCCTGAGGATGCAACCTGTCCCATCATCTAGATGATTCCTGAAGACATTGGGTAGTACTGCTGGTTTCATCCAGGTGATCCCTAGGGGATGCCACTGCAACTGCTTGGATGGAGCTTGGTACAGCTGTGGCTATTCTTTCAGTTCAGCAGTCCTGGCAAATTCCCAAACACCTCACTGCTCCCTTACCCCTGTCTCACCAGTTTGGCTGTAGGGATGCTGTGGGAGACTGTTGTTACTGGCCTTCTGTGTCCTGTGTGCTCTTCCATCCTCTGCTACGCCAGACATCCCCTTGCAGTAAGCTCTTGTGTTCTTCAGGCATCATCAGTCCTTGCTAAATCCATGGTGGCTATTCCCTGTCATCTTCCTGTGCTCCTTGAGCAGAGGGATGCCTTCCAGGAGGATTTGCTCTATAATCCTCTCATGGACGTAGGTTAGGCT